TACCCCCTAGTTAACCACTTTGCCGTTCGACAGGCACAAGAATACCAAGCAACTACGCAATAATGAACACGGTCAAAGGCAGACACGGAGATGCCTCTTTGCCTAGTGTGGGCTAGGGCCGGTTCGGTTGCCTTCTTGCTTTCTGCTCTCCTTCTCAAACACACTTATATCGTACTAACTAACAAGACTTGAAGCTAACTAGTTGACCATGGCATGATCTAAACGAGCATCAACTCTATTCACACCGCAAGGACGGGAATACCACCAAGTCGTTTTCAAACTATCCAATCCTGTGGTTCGAACAGGGAGTATCTCCCGCCAGGGCAGGGCAGGGCAGGGCAGGGACGGAGTGCCACCCCATTATAAGAGAGCCATTTTATCTCGTCCTATTAATTGACAGAGGCCATGGGACCCTGCCGATGTCGTGGATCTGTTATTATGACCGGGCTCAGGGGTTCCCCTCATTCCCCAGACGCACCGATTATGCAGCAGGACGGCTTGCGCTCTTCCTTGGGTGGCGCTTTCTTTTCCATTTACTCATGTGCAGATACTCAGGGAAACGAGTCTGCCACGTCTGGCAAACCCTTGCTCGAAGATATCTTATCACATGCTTTAATGGTGCCTCTTCGGTCGGGATGAAGGAACAGTGCCTTCAATTCAGAAATTCAGAAGAGGAGAAAGCGTGCCTGGTGTGAAATCCATTATTTTCAGCCAAAATAGCTGTTAGTGTTTACAAGGACTGGCTTGACAGGGTCAGGCATAAGCCAGCATCGTTCGCGGAATCGGCATCAAGAACTGAAGGGATAGGAGAGAAAAAGCGCCCGGTCAAGTCGGGATAGGCTAGGCTATGCAAAGCAAGAATGGCATGGCAAGGAGAAATAACATAACAAGATGGTCATCTGCTTTCCCAACTAGACGTACTCCCCTGCTTAGCCTCTATGCACAACAAGGAAGAAGAAATAAGAAATAAAAGGCGAAAGGAAATAATCTCAGATATGAGTGACTCAATAAACGCCAAAGCTCAGGACGAAGCTAGAGAAGAAAAGAAGAGAGTAAAATGAAACCTGCAGACTTGGATATGTTTTTAATACAAACGAAAAAAAGAAAAAAAGGAAAGAAACTGGAGGTAGTATCGGGTAGAGCCAGAAAACACATGGGACGCTGATGAAGGTCACAATAAGTATAATATAGTAACAGGAACGCATATAGGATGGGCAATTGGAAAGGTAAGAAGTTTGGGGGTGACGAAAGTTGATTAATAGTAAATAAGGGGGAGGAAGAGAAAATGAAGAGTAGAGTTATTATTTAGACAAAAGAAAAACATCGAATGCTGAGAAACCATTGAAACGCTACCTCTAGTGGACGGATGAGTCGCAGCCAGAACGCTTGGTAACAGTAAAATGGTATCAAAAAGTCATCAATCGTAGCCTGGGTGGCAATTATTGTATGCTAGGAAGGAGAAAGGAGACGGAAAAGGTTATTTGAAAGCACAAAATAATTGGCCACATGAATTAAAACTCGCATAGAGGAGAGAGGAGAAGAAAAGATGCGAGCTAGGAAAATGATGGGAGGGTTTATGGAATGGGGGATGGAGGGTGTGGATAGGTAGGCGGTAATTGCCTGTGGGGTGTGATTGATGTTGAAGGTGGAAGATGGAAATTATCGACAAATAAAACATAGGAAAAGATGCATGCATGTAGAAAAGCAAAAGAGTGAGAAGTAAGGTTAGAAGACGGCGGAGAGGCCGTTCCTGGAGTGTCTTCTGCTGAATCGTTTCTTTGATTTGGAGTCACCCTCTGGCGATGGCTTGGATAGAGCATTTCTCCCGCTTGATTGTGGATATTGGCCCGTAGGAGAATCATCAGCATGGTTTAGGGTGTTGGCGTGGCTCGATACGCCAGAAGACAAGTCTCGGAACCCGTCGTCACCCGTGTAAGAATTGGGGGTGGAGTAAACGGAAGCCAACTCCTTTGCGCGGTCCAGTACTTCCAGCCATTCTTGCGTGGCGAGTTTTGAGGCAGCCGCGTCACTGTTTGGTTTAGTCTCTTCAAAGACATGATGCTTCTCGCGCTGGGAGGAGCCAAAGAAAGCAAAGTCAGTAAAGGCTTTCTTACAAACGGTTGCTGCTTTTGTTGGTTTCTGGCTACTAACCGTATCTATTGCCCAGGATGTATAACCCTTCGAATCAGTTATGCTGCGATACTGGGTGTCTGGATTTAGAAGCATGATGTCCATTTTTGGCCGTTTATCCTCGCCACCCGCCGGAACGATGATTACCCTGCCAGCGGAGGTGACTAGGACCAATCGTTGCCGCTTCTTGGTGGCAGACCCGCCGAAGAAACGGGATAACTTTTTCGGCGTATCGCCATCTCCATTACCGTTTTTATTTTGAGAACGGGGAGCCGAGGAAGTGGATACCGTTAAGTTTCCCAGCTTTAATATACGCTCGTTAGTTCGGGTCAGGACAGGGGACCATTCAATATCAAGCTGCGAAGGCGGAGGAAGCTCAGTAATCACGGGAGGATATGACCTATTCTGCGAGGTTGTAGAGGAGGGCGGCAATCCCGCAGAAGGTTTCATGTTGATATTGGGAGGAAAACTGTCGTCATCATCTGGGCCGTTAAGTTTGATGGGCTCGGTCGGTGGTGAGTATGACTTTAGTCTAGGCGGCTTTTGCTTCCAAAGTTCGCGACCCCAGGTAATTCCGTTAAAGAACTCATGGTTTTTGATATGCTCGATCTGTAGTCGAGTGTTTGGGTCATGAACGAGCAGTCTTTCTACCAAGTCCCGAGCGGCAGGTGGGAATCCCTTTGGGAACTCGTATTCTAGGGCGACAATCTTTTGAAAGGTGAGGTACTCATTGGCAGCCTTGAAGGGCGGTCTACCTGCAAGAAGCTGAAATATGATGCAGCCAAACGCCCATAGATCACTGGCCTTGCATGCACTCTTGTTAGTGAGAAGTTCTGGACTGACATACTCTGCAGTTCCGACAAAAGACCTCGCCCGCTCATCCTCCGGCATATCCATTGAAGGAATTCCGTTATCGTTTCCTCCCTCTTTGGGGGAAGGCATACTGAGGATCTTTGCTGTTCCAAAGTCGGTGATCTTTACGTGCATCTGGTTGTCCAAAAGAACATTTTCTGGCTTAAGATCTCTGTGGATAACTCCACGCCGGTGCATGTATCCAATGGTATCCAAAATCTGAGCTCCATAGAACCTTGTGCATTCTTCATCAAAGGTGCCCATCCGTTTGAGAACACCAAGGAGTTCACCACTCCCTGCAAGATCGAGCACGAAGTACAACGATCGCTCGTCCTGAAAGGTGTAGTATAGCCGGACCACACCAGGGTGATCAGTCAGGCGATTCAGCGTATCCTTCTCGATGTTTACATATTTGACCTTCTTCTCCTTTATTATGTGGCGTTTATCAAGGATCTTGATAGCATATTCCTTGAGGGTCTGGCGGTCCGTGGCGGCAACAACCTGACTGTAAGAGCCCTCACCTAGGGTGCGACCAAAGACAAAGTCTCTGACTCCCTTTTTCACATATCTCGCAACTGGCTTTCCATTTGCATCGATCTCCTGCTGCACGCCTACTGCAGCTCCGCGCTCCTGCCATTCCTCAGAGCTATGAAGGGGAGCATTTTCGTTGCCATAAGAGGTTGAGACAGCAGGTATAGATGTGCTCGGAGCTCTGCGGGAGCTCTGTCTAGGCGGTAAGGGAGCACCGCCACGGAAGACCTTTGTTGGTGCATAGGATCTATCGGTGTGTCCTTCGTCTCGAGGAAGGACACCGGCCTGGAGAGCTGTAGAACCGCCACGAGAGTCGATCCTGGACGGGTATTCCGTAGCAGACACAGATGAATCCGTTCGAAGGCGGTAGGGTTCACCACGCGGAGAGGGTTGGTGGTTGGGTGGAAGACAGACTGATTGACGGCTGGGATGATGAGACATGTTGAGTTGTACGTTGGAGGGGAGCTGCGACGGCGAATTTCTCGAGTAATCATGGAGATTTACATTCGAAGCTGATGCTTGCGGCGCAGGACTTGGACCGGTGTCTACTGATCGATTGCCAGGCTGGGAGTGTTCGGGGGCAGCTAGAGCTTCAGGAGCATCTTGGCCCATGGAAGACAATTTCAGGGAGGAGATCGAGGGGCCCTCTGAGGTATTTGTAGAGGCATTGTCCGGATTGGCGATGCGTAGCCCACCGAGGGACTGAGAAAGACTCAGATCTCCGTCCATATTCACGGGACCGCAGCGTAAGAGGGGGATTGTCAGAGCGAGCGTGGGTGGAATGCGGGAAGCCTGATGACGGCCCAAGAGCGAAAGACAAGACGTAAAAGCAAAGGTGACTGATTGTTGGCAGCTGTCAGGCGTATGTAAGTGTGTATGTATGTATGCGAGTGAACAAGTGAGCAAGCAAGCAAGCGCAGAAAGCAAGGTAACCAGGCAAGCTGTCTCACAGAATTGAGACTATGCCGGTTACTGGCGAGGTAGACAAGTGCATGGCAGGGCGAGGTGAATGGAGGAGGACTGGGTTCTTCGATCCGTCTTCCTCTGTCCGGGAGAGGTCAGTTTTCTTTATACGCCCAGCCGAAACGAACGCGAGGCTGGAGAGGAGCTGGAGAAGGCTACCTGAGGGCGCGCAAACCAAGGTGTCTTGTCCCCGGGCGATGCTTCTTGCGAGCGAGCGAGCTGCAGGTCGGTGGTGGATGTCGTTTTTCGGCGAGCAGGACTGGTGGCGAGAGGACAAGCAGCGAGAGACGGTCGGGGGGAAGGTCTGGGCAGGCAAGAGGAGGCTCTCAGCGTCTCCGTGATGCGGCCACTGCTTCTCTGGCACTTGTATCTGCGGCTCCTGCTTGTCTTCTCGAGGTCAAACGAGCGGCTTCTGCGATGTCTTTTCTTCTTCCTCCTCCTCCTCGTCGACTTTCTTTGATGTTCAAGGAGGGCTTTAACTAGAAGTTCTGGAAAGGTCGGCTTAGGTAATCACAGAGCTCAACATGAAGAGACGAAGATGCGCGATGATGGACGATGATGGATGGATGGGACGGAGAGAACGACATGAGAAGGCTCGGAGAAGCCAACGGCCAACAATCTCTCTCTCTCTCTCTCTCTCTCCGCAATTGGACGCGTCTCGAGAGTGGCCGGGCCATGTACTCCGATGGCTTGCTGCTCCCTACCTGCCAGCGATCAAGGAGGCGCTGCATCGCCGGAACAGCCAGCAGCTTCGTAAGACGGAGCAGAGCTATTTAAAGCCAGCATGTCTCAGGACGAAGAGCCGACTACTTGACTGGCGCGCCCGTTGCCAGTCGTCAGATAAGACATACGTCTAGGAGAGAAAGTCGAGCAGCGAGCAGACGGCTCTCTGGCTTTCATCCATCGGTGGCTGAGTACCACAGATGACGATGTCTCTGCTGCATGGAAACCGGGAAAGCAGGGTCTGTCGGAAGCATCTGCAGCATGTCATGATGCAGACTCAGTGACCACAGCGGTGGATAACTAGATATGCTATCATCCTCTGCGTTATCTGGCCGGTTGGGATCAAAACTTGGATATGATGCGTGCTGTTTGCTCTGCGCCTTCACGACGGGTTTCAGTTTTGATACCCCATGGCCATTCCCGTGTCGAGGCTATCGGCGAGCCTGGAGATACCAATAATAGCTTCTCTTTCCAGGAGAGAGCTATCAGCGTCGATTCTTTTTTTTTTTTTTTTTTTTTCCCTTCTCTGCCGGCTGTCAGCTTGCTCCTGATTGAATATGAAGGAATACCATTTTGATACCTCACACACATTCTCTATCAATAAGGACTTATCATCTACATTCCTTCATCTTTATACTGTGGCCATGAAAGAGGCACCCTAAACAGCAACCATGTTAGCCCATCATCTTCTATATCTGGGGATAAGGATGGCTTCACCAGTGAGGCCTTCATAGCAACAAGAGTAGCCATGGCCAGGCTGCAATACAGGGGCCTTGATACCAGCCATGTCTATAGAACCTCTTAAACGCTAGGCAGAACACCCAAGCCAGGTTGAGCAAGTAGCTTCCATTATGATATCTAAGTAGATGATAGTTGCATGAAGAAGAGAAGAGAAGAGAAGAAGTCCAAGTTTCTCTGGATAGAAATATCACAGGCCCCCGACGACTAAGCGATGTCTTCCTTATCACCTTTATGCCCCTTAACTTCATCTTCTAATCACTGTCTCTGCTCAGTCCGGATGGGCCCTTTTTTGATATCAGGATGGGGGTTGTCACTACTTGCTTCTCCCTTCTTCTTCTTCTTCTTCTTCTTCTTCCTCTTCCTCTTCCTCTTCCTTTCCTCCATCTTTTGCATCTATATAACTTCTCAGCAACTCCAACCATTTGCTATATTCTGCCTTTTACTATTCTACAACAGCTCCTTTCAAATACCAAACAGACCCTCAGTTCTACATCTCTCTTTGAACATGGACCCTGATTTCGTTCATAGACAGTTCCCAACTTCTTATCTGAGGACAAAGTTGGGCTCAGAAGTCCAGTTTCCGGTCGAGAGTCGCACCGAGGATACAGCGCTGCATACCGCAGTAGAAGACCATATCACTAACCAGCTTGCCCAGAGACAGCAGCAGCAGCAGCAGCAGCAGCAGCAGCAGCTTCCAACCTGGCAGGCTGTAGATGGCCGTCAAGAACTCCAGCACTGGCTGAGAGTACCGCCATCACTCACACCCGGCCCCCTGTCTACTCCATCTGCGTCCTCGGCAGAGCGACAAGGCTCGCCAAAGCCAGCAGACGATAGTCAGACTCTCTCCTCATCTGCTCCTCCATCAACTCTCACTCCGAGTGAGATCAACCGCAGAGGCCAGCAGATTATCATGCAAATCCTACAGACACCCGTCTCGCAGGAGGAGGCTGATTATCTCCGTTCCTTGCCTCTATTTACTCCTCCTCGCTCATCCTCAGGGGACCGAGATTTCACCTTATTCCCACCTGCTCCAGCGGAAGAAGAAGAAGAAGA